GTCTCCTGAGGTCCCTTAGCACAGTCCTGCAGTCAGAGGCCAGGAGGCAGTTGGGGGACCAAGTCGGAGCCCTGCCCCCGCTCCCACCCACCCCCAGCTCAACTCAAAATAACTTCTCCACCAGCTGGGCCGGAAAGGACTGCCCCAGGATCACGCGGACAAGGCTGGGGCAGACAGTGGGCCCAAGCAGGGTTCCTCTTCTCTTCTGTCCCAGGCAGCTGCCACGTTCCAGACAAAGGGCACAGAGCTGAACTCAGCATGTCCCTCACCCTCACTGTCCTCCATGGCACCCACCAACTCTGAGAACATGGAGTCGGGTGGACGACAGAGCCCCTTGCCACCCACTGGTTCTTGAACCTCCAGTAGCCCCATGCCCCACCCCACGACACAACCACCCCCCACACACAGCAGAGCCATACTTGTGCTGGGCTGACCTCAGATCCCAGCTGTGGACCGGCTGGAGAGTCCCAGATTGACATGTGCTAATCACAGAACAGCCTGTGCCACACCTGCAGCCTTCGGCACATCCTGCTCTAGCCTCCAGGGGCCCTAGAAACAGCCTTGGCCTTCAGCACCCAGGGTGGGGTTGGGGTCCAACAGGTCCCACAGTCTCCAATCCCACAGCGAGCATGCTGGCCCAAGGCTGAGGACCAGAGAAGGTGGCCTGCCTGGGATGCACCTAGCTCTGCCCAGGGTCAGGCAGCCAGAGCCATTCTGGCTGAGGGAGAAGCCCCTGGGGGCTGTGTTGACACAGGTGGCCTTCTGAAAGGCAGACATGGACATCAGAGTTTTTCCACTTCCTTTTGCCAAGGGCAACCTCCGCCCAGGTGATGTCTCTGCACCCAGACAGGAAATGTCAAGACTGGGCTGCAGAGCTTGCTGGACTGAGGGCAGGGTGGGGGCAGAGCTGCGCCTGTACCTCAGGGCTTCCCCTCCTGGGCTCCAGGCCCTGTGCCAGGTCACAGCTGGAACCAGATGGGGAGAGATCAGAGACCTCAGAAGGCTGAGGAAAAGAGGATGTGGGTACCTGGCGGGCCCCAAAATCCACCATGCCCTGATCCCAGTCCAGGTTGAGCACCCAGGCCCATGGGACCCCAGGCAGCTCAGATAGTCCCCAAAACACCCCAGGGTAGGCCAACACCCTCCTAGAGAAAGGTAGAGGTGGCTCAGGCTCAGAGCTGCATGTGTGAGGACTAGAACACAGAAGGGTGAGGAGACAGTGACAAAGGACAGGAAACATCAACTCCACTCCAGGTCCAGCTTGGGCCCTGAACAGGAACCTGTCACTGAGGGGTGGACAGACCTGAAGTAGCCTGCTCCACCCTGCCTGGCTTTCTGGACTCTCTGGGGCCAGAGTCCAGTCACTGTCACACATAGCAAAACAAGCGAGATCCCAGGAGGGAGGGCACAGGGGCCCAGCCCAGCCCTGCAAATGCTAGGCAGGGAGGGCTGAGGCAAGCCCAGGGCAAACAGGCAGGGAAGGCGGGAGGGCAGAGTCCCCACACCCCAGGAGCGGGAAGTAGCAGCCTAGGGAAGTAGAACCAAGGAAGGGGAGACAGCAGAGGAAACAACAACACTTGGTCTGAGAGATTTTTCATTTTTCAAAGGTTTGCTACCGGCCCCAGAAGCTCAAAGCCCTCGCTCAGTTAAGGGCACAGAATTACTTCTCTCTCCTATAATTAGTCAGAGATCTGGCCCTGCCCTACCCTCAGCCCCACCCTTAAAACAAATAGCCATTACCCCCAGGAAGGCTCTGCTTGCCCCCACCCCATCTAATCACCTACTTTCACAAACCCAAGTTCACATCACCAGAAGGGAAATCCAAGATGGGGTGAGGAGGGGCTTCCTCAGCCCCCTCCATAGGCCTGGCTGGGGTCAGAGTTCTGATCTGCCCACCTCTTTCTGCAGCTCTCACAAGACAGACTCAGGGCAGGAGAAGGCCAAATGGAAGAAAAGCTTTCACCCTGCACCCCGGTGGACAAGGCAGGAGGCCTAACACAGGGTGAGGAACCAGGGAGCAACACAGGTGAGCACTGCCCACTGGCACCAGGGCAGCCCTCCCAGGTCACGCCCAGCCAGGGAGGATGCCAGATCCCCTCCTACCAGTGCCCCTGTCTCTGCCCATGGCTGCAAAGGGACCAGCGGTACTGGGCCCAGGGTATGGGCACCAGGCAGGGGACAGGACATGGTGATGTTCCCAGAAAGACTTACAGGGGAGGGGTGCCATATGGACCCCTCCCCAGGCTGCCAGCCCACCCGAGTGCCTTCCAATCCAATCTCTTCTGCTCCACTGGCCTGGGCCAGGGCCAAGCCCCTGGGCTCCCTGCACTTGGACTCGGCTGAGGCTCCATCTCCCCAGCGCAGTCTCCACATGGCAGCTGGGCAGCCACGAGACCCCAGCAACACCCCAGATGGTACCTCCCAGGGACCTTCTCTGGCCTCCGCCTCCCTGCTGGAGTAAGGGATACATGGGCAAGTCCTGGGCTGGGCTTCCGTGGGTGGCTGGTCCGGGAGCCATCAGAGAGCAGGAGGAAGGCCTGAGGCTCAACTCCAGGAAACCCCAGGATGAACCTAGGCAGCCGACCCACCAGGTGTCCTAGGTGTGTCCCTGATCCTGGATCCAAGGGTAGATGTGAGAAGACCCCAGGCTGGGGACAGAGCACACAGTGCCCCCCTCCCTGGCTTCTCTCAAGAGATTCCAGGACCAGAGAGGGCCTACCGGCCAGCCCTAGGATCCTCCCCAAGCCAAAGGTGACACATCTCCGCCCCCTCTGCTGCCAACCGGTCTGAGCAGCATGGGAGGTACGGAGCTGCCCAGACTTGTCTGTCCCTCCCTCCTGGGCTCTCAACCCACGGCCCGGAAGTGGATCCCTCTCCCACGGCCGCAGGCGCCCCTCTCCTCCCCTCTCGGGTGGCTGGACACGGCTGGATAATCCAAAATAATTCCTTCTTGGCAGGCGGCCGGCAGGGGAGGGGGGGGTCGCATTCCAAACCCTTGTTTTTCTCAGCAACTTCCCTCTGTTCCTTGGGAAGGAACTCCTGGCCAGATCTCTGGCCTCCCGTGCCCAACTGACAAGGGTGGGGGTCCTGGACCTGCCCAGCCCACTGCTTGCTCTTCCTCTTCTCTAGCGATTTCTGTACAACCTACTAGTAGCTGGCACACCACTGCAAGCACCCCCACGTGGACCCTATCTTCCTAGGGCCCCTGCCTGGACCAGGACCGGGCAGCACATGGGCATGGGCTGAGCACCCTAAGGTGGTGCGTCCCTGGTGCCCACTCAGGCCGCCTATGTGAGGTGGGGTGGGGGCGAGGCAGTTCAGCTTTAAAGGGCTCAGTGACAAGTTGAAGTTAGAGATTAAAGAGCGCCCAGAAGTTTCCAGGCTTTGGGGCCTGGCTTTGCCCCCAGCGTGACTTCCACACGGCCATGGTGGCCAGACAGACCCTATCCTTCCCTTTCCAAAAGGCTGAGAAGAGTTCAGTGACGTGGCAGAAAGCTCCAAGGCTCTTGAGCTCTGAGTTCCCCCCTACCCAGGGAGAGACGGGACTTCCCAGCAGCTTGACCAGAGGTGGCCCAGGGCCTCATTGTGAAGCTGCGGGGTGGGCAAGGACCAGCAGGTGGGCAGCACGATCGCCCAAGTCTAAGACTCGCTGGATCCTGGGCGCCCACAGACACAGCCAGGGCCGTGACTATCCCAGCGGGCGCTGGGCAGTCCAGTGCTGATATGCAGGTCTTCTGCGCCCCTGCTCCCCACACCGGTACTGGGGCTGCGCGGCCCAGCGAGGCCCTGGGAAAGCCCCGGCGCCGGAGATTGCGCGCTGGCCCAGCAGGGACGACGCCCCCGCAAGAGGCTGGCCAGGGGCCCCCAGACAGGCAGGACCCCGCCCGCCCTGGACCCCAGAGTCCCGGATCCCCAACCCCAGGCCGCGCCCTCCGCCCGACAGGCGCGTGGACACGGGGACATCGGCGCAGCCCCGGCCCGCGCCGCCCAGCCCTCGCCCCCGCGGTACCTGCACGTCCGCCGCCGAGGCTCGATGGCGCCCGGGCCGAGCTCGGCGCTGCGCTGTGGCCCGCGCGGCTGCCATGGAGACGGGCCTTTGTGTGGCCGAGGAGGGGCCGGAGCGCGGGAGCCGCCGGCCCCGCCCCCGCCGGGAGGAGAGAGGCGGGAGCGCGGGGGAGGGGAGGGGGACGGGTCGGTGGGGGAGGGGAGAGAGAGCACGGCGGTGGGGTGGTGGGGCACTGGGGAGGGGGGGCCCGGCTCTGCCCTGATCCCCGCGCCCTCTCGTCGGGCGCCCTGCGGCCTGGCACGAGCTGCGACGCCTGGAGTTTGCGCTTGGTAGCGCCCTCCCAGCCCCACCAGCCCTGCGAACCTGGGCGCCACCTGAACGGGAGCCCCCCAGCACTGAAGTCTCTTTGAGGGGTTCCGGGCCTCGCAGCTCTCCCAGGAGCTTCCAGGGAAGGGGGCGCCTGTAGCACCCTCAGTCCCTGTGCATCCTCGCTCCCGGTTGCTTTCCGCCTGCACCCTGGGAATCCTCAGACCTCAGTGTTAAGCAGGACAAGACCTTGCAGGAGGTCCCTCTTTTGGCCTTCCAGCCCCCACACTCGGGCCCTGGACTTAAGAAGACGCGGACATCCCTCTGCGTTCCTCCTGGACCCTTCCGCGGCAGCACAGAGTGGGAGCCCAGGGTCAGCCCTTGGGCTTCCCTTCCACCCAGAGCCTCTGTGGGTGCCCTTCTCCCAGGCCTCATGCTTCTCTACTTCCCCCACCTCGGCTGCCCCGAGTGGCAGCCTTTTGCACACTTCACAGGCCACTGCAGCCGGGACCAGCACATCGACCGGCACATTCGTTCAGTCTCTGCCCTAAGCAGCCAGGCCCGCTCCAGCCCCTTCTTCCTACCTTCACCCCAGTCCAGTCCCGGCCTCTATTGGTCCCCACTACGGGGACCCAAAATTACCAGTCTGACAGGGCTACAAGCTTTTTATCAAAAAAGTTGACAAACATTTTGTCACAAAACGGTATTTTAATACCAAACAAGTGGGAAGCCATGATGCTCTTGCACTGAGGGCACCCTGAAAGATGTGAGGAGCTGTCCCTGCCTGTCCATCTTAGGGTGGCTCTGCTATGCTGCCTGACCCAGCCTCTGCCTGATGGCAGGGACCTCACTGATCACTCTTGAGGGTCAACTGGTTTCTGCCACCCAGGACCTGTGGGAGCCTCTGTGGGAGTCTTGTCTCTCTGCCCTCACTCATCTGCACCTTTCTTTCCTACAGTGACCTGGGGGGCGGGGGTCAGCACCAAGACCAAGCTGACCTGATCCAGAGGTCCAGAAGGGGCCCACGCTCAACTATAGCCACTAATCAGGGCCTCATAGCACCCCACCCCTCCCACTCCTATGTGCCTCAACCTGCACCATCTGGGTGGGCCCCCAGATGTCCTCCTGAAGACCCAGTGGTCTCAAGGAGCACTGACCTCCAGGATCTAGGGGCCAGGAGAGCTGCCTGAATGCCCTTGGGGTGATGGTGGCTGAGGTGCCTGGCCAAGTGAGGCAGCCCTTAGGCATGAAAGCATTGGTGCAGGGACACTGAGGCTATCTCCTATATGGCAGGGTCAGGGGGTCAACTCCAGCACTGTTGGCTCAACTGGACACACCAAGCCATGGTGCCACCCACAGAGGCTCCCACAGGTCCTTGAGTGGCACACTACGCCATGGGAGCCCTGATGGCAGGGTATCTGCTGTCCTGTGCTCATCCCGTCATGCAGGAAGCTGCCAACAGTACCATGCCATTACCACATGGAAGGCAGGCCCTCAGAGGGGAGGCTGGCACCTCTGTGCCCTACACTGCTGTGCCAGCCTTCCTTACTCTGGGTCTCCACAACCCCCATCTCTACCCTGCTGTATAATGGCAACCATGTCCAGGGACTGATGTGTCTACCTCTCTGTGTCCTATACCTATGCCAGGTGGTCCTAGACTATGGTCAACATACACTTGAGTTCTGGGAAGGAGCTGATGTTGTGAACAGTGGTCTGCACGGGTGCAGTCTACCCTTGCCTCACTAATGCAGTTAGCCATAATTCCTCCACCAGTGCCCCCTTCAGGCACTGCAGGGCACAGAGCTAGCTGCACACGGCCCAGCAGCGGCCTCACAGGCATCTACATAACCTGGTCTCTCAGACAAGGAGTCCAGGGGTCTGTACGGAGACCCAGCCCACAGCTCCCAGCTGGTGATGCTCAGCTGGGGCTCAGTTGCAGTTCTGGTGCACCTCTCAGTGCATATTCTCTACAGCCCCGCCAGTGTCCCCCTCTTGTGAAAGCACTGCCTGAAGTGACAGCACTACCTCACTGGATCCAAGCTTGACTGTGGAGTCCAGAGGTGGCCTGCCAAGGAGGTCAGTTGCACAGGGTTGTGGGAGCTGGGCAGTGGAATCAGGCCAATCCAAAGCCCTCAGGCCCTGTGGGGGGAGTGGGGTGCATGGGGTTCTAGAAGGGAAGCCCAGACCATGTAGTGGATTCAACGGCCAGGCTGCCTGCTGTCCCAGCAGGTGTCCACACCACTCCTCTCCCCTGAATAGCCCCAGGCAGGCAAAGGGTATACAGCAGAGAGGCCTCTCCTTCTACAATGGCTGACATGGGCAAGGTGCCCCTCCTGTCTCCACAGGGCAAGACAGGCAGGTGGCAAGGGGCCCTGCCAACTGCCTCCCTCCATCCTGGTGGCCTGCTGGGTTGAAGGATACATCAAAGCTACCTAGGGTGTGGGCAGATGGGCAATAGGAGGGTGGGCAGAGGATGTGCCCAAATCAACCAGGGCTCTCACCCCTCTATCCCCCTACTTGCCCTCTGCAGCCGTGGAGGGTGGAGGGCAGGTGGGGCTGGAGCAGAAAGCTAGGCTAGCACATAATCCCCTATGGTCAGGGACCAGGCTGTGGTTCCAAATGTCGCATTTACTGCTGGAACAAAGGCAACACAAGGGGGGGACCACAGCCCAGGCAGGAGGCCAAGCTGGGAGCAGGCACTGGGCTGAAGGCCCCACACTGGAAGGCTTGGCAGATCAGGCCTGAGGACGGTACACCTTGGCCCATCCTAGGGAGGGCACAACACAGCTTGCAGGTCCTTGGGTAGGGAGCTGATGACCATCTCAATGTACAGCTGTGCCCGCTGTAGTGTCACCTCCTTCACAGGCAGCTGGTGGCCTTGTGCTCGCACCTGCAAGGGCACTGGCAGTCAGAGGCAGGACACCTCCTGCCAAGTGGTAGTGGCTGGGCAGGGCAGGCCAAAGACGACGCTGCTTACCAGCTTCTCCCGGAGTTTCAGGACCAGGTCCACCACCTCCACCTCTGACTTGTCCTTCATCCAGGTCTCAATGTTCTGCAGCAACAGTGCAGGTCCTCTGTCACAGAAGCCCCCACCCTGTCCCCAGTCCCCAGCCCCCAGCCCCATCCCCTCCAGCCTGGCCCCAGACTTTCTCACCGCCTCACAGATTGCCTCTAGGTGCAGGGCCTCCAGCTTCTGGGCCATCTCTTTGTGCCGCTGCCTGTACCAGCCATCAAAGTGGGGTGACTTGAAAAACCGCCTGTGGGTGACAAGTGGCGACAGCTGAGGGGCTGGCCCAGTGTGCCAATGGTGGCCAGGGGCAGCCTGTGCCACGTACCCACCTATAGAGACCCAGCCAGTCACCCTTGAGGATGCAGGTGAGCTGGGGGCCTGCATGCTCCAGGCTGTGCAGGAAGTCATCCTGGCGGAAGGGGCGGATCTGGGGAGGGGTCTGAGACAGAGGCTGGTGACCAGGTGCTGGGAAACATAGCCCAGAGCCCCACACCCAGTACTCTGCTTCTTGGATGCATCTGAGCCTCCCCTGACCTGGTCCAGCCCTTCCAGAGGTCCCCCAGTTGTCTTCCCTGGGAAGGACACAATGGATGCCTGCCCCAGACCTTCCGTCCTCTGAGATGGGGACACCAGGACCCTCACCTTCCAGGGCGTGATGCTCTTCTGCAGTGGCATGAGGCTGGCCATGTAGTGCTCCTGGAGGTGTGGGGGCAGGGAGTGAGCCTGGGGCCTCAGCCCCCCACTGATGTCCCCTCCTACCCAGGCCTCACCAGGGGGATGATGAAGCTCTGTGTGAGCTCCAGGAGGTGCCGCCTCAGCAGAGCACTCTGCACATCCCATGGCCGCTGCTTCTGTACACCCTGCCAGAGGGAAGCAGGCAGCTTAGCCCAGATCCAAAGCCTTCACCCCACACACGCCCCTGCATCTTGATTCCATCCCCCCAGCCTGTACCTTGAGCAGTCTTTTGAGGAGCGCCTTGTCCCGGTGGAGGTGGGCTGTGTAGGAGGTGTAGAGGCCTGGCAGGAAGGCAGGTCAGCAACCGTCCTTCTGTCCTTCAGGGCCTCCCTCCCTTCTGCTCTGCTTAGCCCCTAAGGGTATCTGGCAGGGCATCTGATCTCAACCCACCCCACCCCAGGGTTCTAGGGACCCACTAAGGAGAATATATTCCCACCTGCCCCCCGACACCTCTCAGTAGACAGAGAGTCTATGGAGGCCTGGCTGGCCTGCTGGACCTGCCAACTGCAAGACAGACTCTTTAAAGGGCACAGACCTGGCTTGGTGTCAAGGGTCTTCAGCCTTGAGGGCTTTTTCAACTTGATCTGCTTAGGAAGGTCCCCTGCAAGACACAGCCAGGATCAGGGCTCACTGCTCTGGCCATGCCTGCAGGCTTGGAGGTCTTGAGTTCAGATATCCTACAAAGTCCTAGGCTGGCTGAGTGATGCTTCCGAGCCCACCACCCAGCCCTCCTCAGCACCCCTCACCTGACATCTTAGGTTCCCCAATTCGGAGGATATGGGGCCAGTGCTGGAGTGTTTTGATAAAGAAAGGGTTTGTGACTCCCAGGACCACGTTGGGTCTAGAGAGAAAGAGAGAAAAACAGAGAGAAACAGAGAGAAGAGGCAGAGAAAAGCCAGGGGAGGTGGCCTCGGCTAGGGGAGGGCAGGGTGGATGCACTTACGGGGCCTGGGTGCGTGTGGTAAGCTCCTTAAATTCACTGTCATGGATGGTAAAGTAGGGGCGGAAGTCACAGCAGAACTTGAGGGGCTGCAGGCAGCTGTGGGTGGGCAGTGGGGAGCAAGTGAGACAGGGTGCTGGCTGTGCCAGGATAGCTAGGGACAGAGGCACCTACCTGGTCAGGGCCAGCACCATCTCTGAGGACACATCAGGTGAGGGTGCCAGGACCACCAGGGGCTCCCCAAGAAGCACGAGCTCCCACAGTGTCTGAACATGGGTCAGCACGGGCCGGAAACACCTGTCAGTGGGCAGTCGAGGTCAGGCAGGGCCCAGGGTCCCCAGATGTCAGACACAGGTCTGGAGGCCCCAGGCTTGGGTGAACTCAGGGCTCTACTCAGGCAAACAGAGTGAGGAAAGTGTATGAGATCTCTGATCGTGCCTCAGGTCACCAGGCCTCCCAGACCCATCTGCTTTGAAAATGGGAGGATGCAGCTGGACACAGCCTGAACCTGGCCTGTACAGGGCCAGCAGTTCTGCAGCACCCTTGAAACTGAGGCAGGGATCCATCCCAATCCCTGCTGTCCCTCAAGCCTGTAGCCCTGCTCCTCTGGGCCCAGCAGGGGCAGGCTGACCTCAAAGCCCAGGCTCCCTTGACTCAGAGAGGGCAACCTCAGGTGGTAGATATCTCTGATAGCATCTTCAGGCACTGCTTTTAGAACCTTCCTGCCTACAGTGCCCACTCTTGGGCACAGATTTCCTCTTCTGTAGGACTTCCCTTCACAGGACATCCCAAATGTCATTCAGGACTACCAGTCCCTCCCTGGGGCAGCCCCAGGACTTACCTGAACAGATCCAGTTCATGGACACTTGCAAGGACCACAGGGGCTGGTAGCAGGTTCTGAAAGTGGAGGACAGGCAGTCAGGGCTGAGGGTGCAGACTGGCCTGAAGGTACGCCTGGTTTGTCACCCCACAGGGAAGCAAGGAACCCTGCTCCTTCTCTCCATGCCTACCTCTTGTTCACACTGCTTCAGAGGACTGGATTCCAGCCTATCTGCCCTGGATGGGATGCACACCTAGGGAGGAAGGGAGCACTGCCAGAAGGAGCTGGGTGCTTCCATGTCCTTGCCCACTCACTCAGTGGGGGCCCTCACCTGGATGACGACACCCATGACAGGTAGATTCAGGGTCTGCCCAGGCACAGGGGCTGGCCACTGGTCAATCTCATTACAAACTGTGGACACAGGAGGCCCAAGTCAGGAGCCTTCCCAAGCAGAAGCTGTTTGCTGAGGCCCACAGGGCCCACACTCGCCACACTTGACAGCCACCTACCGGCTTCCAGACACGGTGCCAGCTTGTCAAAGTACTCTGGGGCCATTAGGCTCAGCAGGGACTGGAACAACCGGACAAAGGGTAGGCGGGACAGCAGCACCAGGGACTGCAGTGATACAGGGGCTGTAAGACGGCAGCCAGCTCCAGGGGTCACCCCAGCTACTCAGGGACCTGTGGGGATCCTGACACCAGGCAAGCCAGAGCCAGCCCAGGGCACTGTACCTTGTCAAGCCCAGAGGTCACTGCCCAGAGGGGCACACTCAGACCCTGAGTCCACCAGGAGGTAACAAGGTGGGAAAGGGCCCCAACTCTCAGGGAACAGTGAGGCAGTGAGGTTCAGGGCCATCTCCCCAGGGGCCACATGCCTGGGTTCAGGACTGAAGCTGTCCTAATCCTGCAGATGTGACAGGGCCAGCAACCAGTGAGGGCCAGGGTTGTCTGGGCCTGGGGACAGATGGGCTGTGATGGTTTTTGAGGCAAGGGGATGGGAGGGGATGCGAGGCATGCAGTGACCCTCCCTGGCCTTGCAGCCTTGGCCAGTCTGTAGAAGGGTGGTGGACACTCCTGGAGCTCAGACTATGGGCTGCTGCAGGGCCTCCCTGTGCCTAACCAAGTGGCAAGGCTCACCTTCTGGAAGTAGCCCCTCTTCACAGAGCTGTCCTTTACTTGCCGGAAGTACACGTAGCCAAGGTAGTGTGCTGGCTCCTTCTGGAAGGACTGTGTGTTACCTATGCTCACTCAGGCCACCTGGCAAGGTTCAGGCCATAGTGACAAGAAATGAGCAGGGACTGCTGAGGGTGGGTGGTGCTTGGGGATGCAGAAGGCTCTAGTCCAGGGTCTCTCTACTCTGAGGCCTGTCCTCAGGAAGGTAGAGACCTTCCTCAGTTAGACGTGGGCTCCTGGGCTCAGGTGGGCAGCACCTCTCCAGGAACAGTTCCTACTGCACAGCAAGGGACACTGAAATAGGGGGCCTCTATTCATAAAACCCTGATGCGAGGGAGGACTTTGGGGGACCTTGGTGAGTTCCCAAAGGGCAATGCAACCTGGCACCTGGGCCTGCAGGGTAGCAAGGCTTGCAGCAGTTGGTGATCCCAAGAATGAGCATGGCTAGCACCTTTCCTGCCACACAGGGCCCAGCAGCTCTAGAAGGGTGGGAGGAGAAGGGCGCACCTACCACTCACCTGCAGTGCCACGGGCGCCTTGCTGTTGTAGGGCTGGTCATCAGCGTGCCAGGGGCTCCTGTGCCCTCCACACTGACGCATGCGGAAACTGAACTGAGTGTCCCCTAGGCAGCCTGAGGAGGGGCAGCAGCGCCCTGCAAGTCAGGGCTAGGAGCTTCCACTCCCACTGTTGGTGGGGTGGACACAAGGGGGAAAGGGCCCTGCAGGGCTCCCACCACCACCACAAAAGTCCCAAAAGTCCCATCCTAAGGGACTGCATTTCCCAAAGGCTTTCTACCCTGACCTTGCACACCCCCAGCTAAGGTCTTGTAATAAACACAACACACAGGAGAAGCACCTTCCGTGTCCCCAGGAGTAGGAGTGGAGCAGTGACCCAGCTCCTGGTAGCCAATGGGGAGACCAGACTTTTGCTCGGCCATCTTCCCTGTGATTTCTGTGCAGCATGGGGCTCCTGTGTCTCCACAGGTCAGAGGACAGGTGGGCATGAGCCATTCCTGAAGCACCCTCGATGCCTCTGGCCTGCGCCCTGTCTCCCCATCCCCAGAACCAGCATCCGCTGGAAAGGGTGGAGTCGCCTACCTGAGTGGGAGTCAGGAAATGACAGGTAGCAGATGCTGCTTTTCTGAAATACAGAACCCAGTCAGGGCCACTGACTCCTAGGGACATGCACTCCCAACAGCACCAGGACCTACCTCCTTGTCTGTGAGCCGGAAGTCACTTGGGTACACCAGCTGCAGGGAAGGAAAGAAAACTTGGTGATGCCAATGGGCCACAGCACCTGCCCACTGGAGCTGACCTCCTCCTGGCCCTCTATCCCAGCAGCCTCTCCCGCCCTACACACCATCTTCCCTGACTCAGGCTCTCCTGGCTCCTCATGGGTGCCCCTTTCCTCTCTGACCTCCAGACCCAGTATCCCTCTTCTCATCTACTCCTCCTCCTGCACATGGCCCCAGCCACTCTACCTGTCTACACCACCAGGAGCCTGGAGACCCCCACCTGGCTCATCCTCCACTCCCTCACTAATGTCCCTGGCCAGTCATCTGTCCTGTGGCCTCTCCTCTGCTTCAGTCATCTCTTCACATTTGCTCAGATATCACCTGGCATTGACCTGCCCCATGACGGCAGCTTCTACTCACCAGCCCCCCCCCCCAATGCTTGCTTGCTTTTCTTCCTTGGGCCTGGGAGCCACCTACATGGCCAGCTGGGCAAGCCTTCCTATGGCCTCAGCCCCAGGAGTGGGCAGTCAGGTAACACCCAGCCACTGAAGAGCAGCCTCCAGCCAGTCTAGACCAGTTAGAGATCAGCAAGCTCTGCAGGAGGAAGTGGACCAAGCAGGCACAGCTAGGAGATCCCCATAGGATACTAAAAAGGCCCCTTTGCAATGGCCCCTGAGATGTTTCCCAGGCTGACGTTCAACAGGGTCTCCTCTTGTCTACTTAACACCTAGGCTGAGGAGTCACTTAGGAGGAAACCTCTGAAGGGGAGAGCTGCTGTCCCCAGAATAAACATTGCTCACTTGGAGAACAGCACTGTTTCTCGTCCCTGTCTGGCCTGGGCTTGCTGCTATGTCCTATTTTAGTCTCTTGAAGACAGGGACTCCTCCCTGGTTACTTCTGCCTCCCAACACCTGGCAGCGAACAGACCCTTCCCAAATACCACGTCTGTGGAAGGTGTGAAAATTCTTCTGTGGGGTGGACCAGAATAGGTAGGTGTGATGGTTGATTTTAGGAGTCAATTTGACTGGATAAAGGACTAGCAGGGAAATAGGAAAGCACCACTGCTAGGTGTGCCTATGAGGGTATTTCCGGAGGAAAGTCTGGGCTTGGTGGGCTGAGTGTAGATCTACCCTCCATGGGGCTCAGACAGAACAAAAACATAGCAGAGGGAAGGCAATTTCCTCTGTCCATTCCTGGAGCCAGGCCACTTTCGCCTTAGACATTAGAACTTCAGGCTCTGGTGTTTGGACCCCAGGACATGCAGCAGAACTGGCCCCTCCACCCCAGCCTCTCAGTCTCAGGCCTTTGGATTCCCTGGTTCCAAGGCTTCCAGATGTAGACTAAGCCATGCAACCAGTGTCCCTCTGTGTCTGGTTTGCACATGGCCTGCTATGGGACTGCTCAGCTTCCACAGTCCCATAAGCCAATTCCCCTAGTGAATCTCACCCACCTATCCACCCATCCATCCAGTCCATCCGTCTCTCAGTGTACTGAGACCTCAACCTTGGAGGGCTCAAGGGGCTGCCAGCTACCTGCACCAATGGGTCACAAGGAAGGAGGCAGCCAGGAGCAGGTAGGAAGGTAAGGGGGTTTGGTGGTGGGGCCAGATCAACATGGATGCCTGAAGATAGCCCAGGGAAAGGCAGGGCCTACGAGACACACAGGCTGAATCTGTGTCTGCACTTCGAGGAGGATAGAGGAAAGGTGGGTACTGTGGCTGGGGCAGGGCTACAGGGGGCCCCTTCCTGAAGTTGAAGGAGGAATCTCTGGGTAGGCCCCTTGTCTCAATTCTGCATCTGTGTTCTGGGCTCCTATGAGAATACCTGCTCAGGGAAACCTGTGTTCACAGCTAGAGGATTCTCTCTGCCAATGGCCCTGGAGTCCAGGTAAGCCTAGAGTTCAGGTCAGGCAGGCCATGCCCAAGTTAGGGGACAAATGCAACAAACTCTGAGCAAGGAGGCCCCTGCCCATCCACCAGCCAGGCCCAGGGTTCCCCCAGAAGCCTTGTCCTTTTTACAGAGACAGCCTGCATAGGTCACCACGCCTGGCTACTCAGCTATCCTGAGTGATCCAGAGATGACAGGCTTCACTTGGACCTCTAGGCAGTGGTTCTCAGAGTGTGGAGGAGCAGCCGCTTGGGTCCGCAGGTCAGGCCATTCTAAGTAGTGGCCCCTCATGCTCATCTCACTGCACACACAGCTCCTGGAGCCAACACATGTAACCCTGACAGACTACTGTGGATGCTGATGTGACAATCTAGCTGGCTTCTATCTGGTCAGGCCTGAGCCGTTCTTGTCAAAAGTGGGGTGGCACACACCTATAATCCCAGAACTCTGGAGGCTGAGGCAAGAGCATCACTGAGGGTTCAAGGCCAAAGCAGGCTACATAGTGAAACTCTGTCCCCCTCAATTAAACTATACCTCTTGTTTTAACTTGTTTTTGTTTTGGAAAACATGGTTGTTTCTCATAAATACATATTACATTAATACATAAGGTCTGTTTTTTCTTAAATGAACTAGTAGTGTTGTTTTAATTTTAGTGTAACATATATGGACAGATATAACCCTCACAAACAAAAGGCTCTCTGGAGTGTTCAATAATTTAAAGACCAAGACTGCAGAGTGTGGGAGCTACCACCCAGGAAGAGCCCGTATGGAGGCGGCTCCTAGTCATTCAGGCCTTAGGACCTCTGGGATGAGCAAGGATATTAAGCTGAGTTTTCAAGGACTGCCATGGCAGAGCCAGACCCTCTCTTCAGCTCATCTGACGTTCCAGGCGCCCCCAGACCTTGCCCACTTTCTCTCTAGTCTTGCATGAAGGTTCTGGTGGGCTTATCTGCCTGGGTCCCACATGTGGTGCTAAAGGACCGTGAGCATGATAGGTCTAGAACCATTTACTCTGTTTCTAACAGATGAACTCCTGGAGAGCAAGAGCCTGTCTGGTGACAACTTCTCAGACTTGATTTATCGAATGAACAAATCACCTCTTGCCTTGGCTTACTTTGGCTTTTTGAGAAGAGTCACCTGAAACAGACTAGCTGGATGCCTCCTTTCACCCTTCAAGGCTTAGCTGAGCCTGGCAGTCCCTTTTGAGCAGCCTGTGTCTTTCTTTTGGTATCCTGCACCAGGCCAGTGCCAGGGCTTTCCAAACCTCAGGCAGGGTGAGCTGAATGAAAGTTTGCAGGAGACCACTCTTTCCCATGGTTCCAGGAAAGGGAGGACAGGCAAGATGCAAACCTGATGAGGGTCATGTGATTGAGAGCCACCCTACAGACTGCCGCCCCATGTTTGGCACAGACTTGATCACCAGGAATCTAGGGTCTCCCCTACCCCACAGCCTGTGCAGCCTCAGGAGCCTAGACATGTACATGTGACCTCTATCAGTGCATGGTTATGTTTTAGAAAATTAGGTATGAGATCCCTTAAGGAAAGGCCGTGTGTGTGTGTGTGTGTGTGTGTGTGTGTGTGTGTGTATGTTTATGGGGTCTGGATACATAGCCCAGGCTGGCCTCCAATTTGGGATTTCCTGCCTCAGCCTCCCTAGTGATGGAATTTATTTATTGGTACTGGGGATTGAACTCATGACCTTCACACTTGCCAGGCAGGCACTGTGCCACTGAGCTATATCCCCAGCCCCCTAGTGCTAGTATTGTACACAAATGTGTACAATACTTGGTTCTTGGTCAGGCATGGTGTAATCCCAGCAATCAGGAGACTGAGGCAGAAGGATAACTCAAGAATTCAAGGCCAGCCTGAGTTACATTGTGAATTGAACTATATAGTGAGACCTTGTCTCAAAAAAACACTCTCTTATGATTTTATGGGGCTTAATCTGAGGAACAGAAAAGTGGATTTTGCAAACTATAGCAAATCACCTCACCTTTCTACTCAGGCCCCTCCATCAAATGGTATCATTTCCACAAGTGAATCTTGTGGCCCAGTATGCAGCAGGATGAGGTCCCCACAGCGTGCTCAGCACTCTGCCAGGAGCCTAGGGATCCTGGACAAGAATTAGTTTTCTGTTTAGCCAACTTCGACTTCTCATAGTTCATCAGGGCCTTAAGAAACATTTCCCGTCCACAGGGAAGGCTGCACTAGTTTCTGGAGGGTGATTCCTCAGCCTCATCTGACCCCCTACAGCGATGGGGTGACAGCTCATGGCCCCCTGGCTGCTCAAAAGACCCTCCTGACAGTTGGTAAAGTCTACCTCCCAGGCACCTATACCTATGGCAGGTCTCCCTGTGCTGATGAGTCCCCGGTCTGTGTCAAAGCTCTTTAAAGAGATCACTCTGCTTGAGTCTGCAGCATTTCCATCTATACCTGGAGAGAGGGAGGCTGCCTCTGTAGATGCGTGGGTGGGGTGGGAGTGTAGGCAATAGGAAGTCAAAGGCCCAGTAGTGGAGACCCAAGACTGAGAATAGCAGATGAGGGCCAAGCAGGGGTTCACAGGGTCTGGCTCTGCCTCTAAGTGGAGAGGCACCATTGGCTTTTAAATAGGAGAGGCACAAGAGTTGAACAGGGGAGAGGGAAATAGTGAGGTGACACCGGTGACTTCAGCAGAAATGGATGGTATCCTTGAAGCATGATCAGCGGTCAGCCTTGCCCTAAGCATGGGATTCAGAGCTATGAGGAAGCATCAAAGGTGGAGAAACTTGGGGCTGGAGATTTAGAACGCTTGTCTAGCAAGCTGGAAGCCCTGGGTTCGGCCCTTATCGCAAAGGTGGTGCACCTAACTGGAGGCATGACTCTGCTTGGGTGCGGGCAGGGGCAGGGGTGATATGACTGGGGATGACTCTGGATACACAGAATCAGGTACCCTCTCCTGCCTGTCTGGAGAGCGCTCCTGGAGCCCTGTGTCCCTTTGAGGAGGTGACAGGTGCGAGGAGGAGGGACGGGGGAGGAGACCAGGTTCGTTACAGGGAGTTATGGAAGGAGTGACTCCTTCCATAACTGGGTGGAAAGGGGCGCCCACGAGGGCCCGGGGCCAGGCAGGAAGGCGATACCAGGTAGAATAGGAGTGCGCAGGGATGGGGAGGCAACGGAGAGGGCGGGAGAGAAGAGCGGCGTCCCGCCCGCGTCCGCTCACCTCCAGCGCCTGGCCCAGCTCCAGGTCGAAGGTGACCACGCACACGCACTCCAGCCAGGCGGAGAAGCGCGCCCAGGGCGCTGCCGAACCCTGCGCCGCGCGGCCTGAGTACTTGGGTCCCGCCGTGCTGAGACCACCGCCAGCGCGCCGGGGGCCCGCACCCGCTCGCGCCTCCATGGCCGCCGCTCCTGCGGCGGCTGCGCGTTGCTGGGGAACGCGAGAGCCGGTCCGGCCGCCTCGGAGCAGTCGGGCGGCCGCCGCGGCCCAGAGCCTACCACTGGCTGCTTGCGCACCCTTCTGGTGCGGGAGAGTTGCGCCACCGCGCGAAACAGCGAGAAGGACCTGGCAGGCCAGAGCGGCCCGAACTTGTGGGCGGGACTTCCGGGAAGCGGCGCTTCCGGTAACCCCAGGGGTTGGTGGGGAGTTGGGAATGGACCCTGCTGGCGGGCGGTGAGAGCCAGCAACTGTCGTGGGGTTATGGGTGTGCAGAGGTGTCTAGAAGACTTCCTTACCGTCGAATTTCATCTTTGATCGGCACCCTTCCTCGTCCTACGTCGTTAGCCCCAGGCCTGCCCGACTTCACTGGCCTTCCTCGGTTCAGCGTTTTGTGAAAACCCGGTTCCCATATTGCCTAGGCCTAGACCAGGCTGCAGTATCGACCCCCAGTGGCCAGGGGAGTGGAAAAGATCCCTTTCTCAGCATTTACTCTGTTTGGCCTAGAAGAGGTTTGCTTAAGAGTCCCAAATGGCCCCAACCAGAGAAATGTAGGCATAAAGCCACGTGGTGAGCGGCACCATTATAATTGCCTTATTGTACTCAAAATAACACTATTTTACAGCTAAGAAAACTGTTAATGGCTAGGTGTGGTGGCATACTAGGAATCCCAGAGGCTGAGACGGGAAGATCTTTGCAAATTCAAGGCCAGCCTGGGCTACCAAGTGAGACCTTGTGTCAAAACAAAGTGAAACTGTTACCAACTGCAGGGTGGTTGTTACTGAGCCAGACCTACTTTTACCCACTTGGGTGGAGGCTGCAGAACAAGTTTCACTTCTGTTTTTGCCCAGGTAGAGATTTGGAATTTTGTAGGCTGAAACGGAGGAAAGGAGATGGGAGGCCAGGAACTAACTTTTGAATATACAGTCAAACTTAATTGTGATCTACCTGTCTGGTGTTGTTTGCACCTCTGAAATGGGTGGTATGGCCAGGAATATAGCTCAGGGACACGTGTCTGCCTGGCAAGCACAAGGCCCTGAGTTCAATTCCCAATACCAGAAAAAATAAGTATTTTTTAGATAGGGTCTCACTAACTTGCCCATGCTGGGTTCAAAGGTGAATTCTTCTTGCCTCAGCCTCCCAAAATGTGGAAGGATTATATGGTTGTGCCACCACACCCAGCTAAAAATTGGTGGCTTTAAAAATCCACTAAAATAGGGGCTGGGGATTTAGCTCAGCGGCATAAGTGCCTGCCTTGCAAGCATGCAGTCCTGAGTTCAATCCCCAGTATCGATAAAAAGAAAAAATAAATAAAAAATCCACTAAAATAAGAGCAGATGGTAGAGCTCCTGCTGCAAGTGGGTTAAATCTCAAGCACTGCAGGCAAAAAAACAACAAAACAAAGCAGTTGTGGGTTGAGTAGAAAGCTTATTCAAATTTTCCCTTCAATTTCATCATGAGCTTATGCCGCTGAGCTAAATCCCCAGCCCCTCTTTGTACCTGTTTCAATTCTGGTTCCCAGTCCTAGCCCAGGTGTAGCTCAGGCTATGTAGCTCAGGCTGACATTGAACTCATGGCTATCCTCCTGCCTCAATCTAAGTGCTGAGATCACCCCTGCCCTTTTAATTTTACATAGAGACAAGACCTCCCCAAATTTCCCAGATAGGCATTAAACTGGTGTTCCTCCTGTCCCAGATGCCCAAGTAGCTGGAATTACAGGGGTGTATCACCATGCCTGACAGTAGACTCTGGGTTGATCTCTTGCCCTACAAAAAATAAAAGGACAAAATAAAAAGTTGTTAAGTTGGACATGGTAGCCCATGCCTATAATCTCAGCACTCTGGAGACTGAAGCAGGAGGATCACTGAGCTCAAAATCAGCCTGAACTACACAGTGAGGCCTGTCTCCAAATAAACAAACAAAAAACATTTTGATAAATCGGGAATGATGGCTCACAGTTGTTCAGAATTTAGGACACTGAGGCAGGAAGATCTCTGAGTTCAAGGCCAGTCTGTACTAATAATCACACCCTGTCTTTAAAAAAAAATTTTAGGGGCTGGGGATTTAGCTCAGCAGCATAAGCGCCTGCCTTGCAGGCAGGCAGCTGTGAGTTCGATCCCTGGTACCGATAAAAAGGAAAAAGCCAAAAAAAAAAATTTTTTTTTTTAAAAACCATGTTTTTAAAAGAAGTTCATATTTGTAGATTCCAGGTAGGTTTTTGGGGGTCACTATGCAACCTATTTTCTGACTAATCACATGTTTTCTGCTTGGTGCTTACCAAAAAAAATTTTTTTTTGAGACAGGGTCTCATTATATGGTACAGTCCAGCCTCAAACTGACTATGCAGCTCAGGCCGATGTCAAACTCACAGGAATTCTCTTGCCTTACCCTCTTGAATGCTGGGGTTAGTGGTATGAGCCACCATAAGACTGAGGCAGGAGAATCTCCACAATTTCAAGGCCAGACTTGGTTATGCAATGAGTTTAAGACCAGTTTGTACTTCATAGTCATTTATGTCTTGTAAATGTTTAAAACTTTTGAGACATGGCCTTACTAAGTTGCCCTGGCTGGGCTCAAGCTTACAATTCTCCTGCCCCAGCCTCCTGAGTGCTGAGATTCCACCAGCTTGACAGTCCCTCAACATTCTTTTCTTTCTTTCTTTTTTTAAAGACAGTTTCACTGTGTAGTTCAGGCTGGCTTTGAGTTTACTATGTAAAATGGGTTCATAAACAATATAGGAATCCAAGCGGCCAAACCGATAACTTTGGAATTTAATTAGCTGAGCTCAGAGACCACTCCTCTGGACCCCTGTTGCAGTCAGCCCTAAACTGGAAAATTACAGAGAACCATAAAAAGACATCCTGCTGGAAACAATTTAGCTAGAATCTTACATTAATTTTTGGTTGACACCTTGTATCCTGCTGCTTTTGTTGAGCGGGTTAATTCTTCTGTGGGTGCAGCTCGTTCTGTTTTTCTTTCTTTTTTCTTTCTTTCTTTTTTTTTAAGAAAGGCAGACTGCCCATGCAGTGCCTCATTTGGATGCATCTGGAGTCTTGGAAGCTTGACTACCCTATGTTCTCCTACAAAGGGGCCCGGACTGCTTGTTTCGAGGTTCTAGCAGGGGAGCACAGCTGCTCGTATACCCTTGACCGAGGAACGGTCCTCCTCTATCTGGGTGGTCATGGTCGTCCTCTTTGACCAAGCGCGCAGCTTTTGGAGGGACGCACATGGATCCTTGAGGGAGGAAGGGGACCCCCGCCTAGCCAGCCAGATCAGCTGAACTAACCCTGGCGATCAATGGGGTGACAGATGTCGCAGCTAGATCGCCCTCACACCCTCATTCTGCATTTCTTATGGGACTTGTATCCTGAGTAATTTTCCATTCTCCTGAGTCAAATACAGGACACTAGTTAAATGCAGGGCTCAAGATGGCGTCAGTTATGCCAAGCTGCAACACTATGCAATCCAGATTGGCCTTGAACTTGAGGCAGCCCTCTTGTCTCAGCCTCCCAGTGAGTACAGGTTTCTTCAGCACTTTTTTTTGATACTTGGAATTGAACTCATGACCTCATGCTTGCCAGGCAGGCACTATGCCATTGAGCTACATTACTGGCTCTCCTTCAGCACTCTGAAAATGTCATTTTACTGTTTTTATGGCTTCTACTATCCTTTTGGAAAGATTATCTAAAACAATTAGTGTGTGGCAAACTGGCTGAAAGAGTAGACATGACCTGTTCATTACAAATCCCAGCATCCAGGGGAAAAACAATTCCCAAATCCCTGCATGTGGGCTTTTTGCAAGAACTTGAGCAAGTTTTTGATAGTGTGGCTACTGTCAGCTTAAGGAGTGGACAGCATAAAAAGGACAGCCACACTGAGTTCTTGCTACAGTGTTCTCTCCGGCACAGGTGGCCTGGCCTTGAGCTGTAGGGTGCACGTCTTTTCCTACTTTGACTTGGCCCAAACTCTCTTTGCAGAGCCTGTTTCTTTTCCTACTAATATAGGGGAAATCCTGGATGTCAAATACACGGAGTTTGTGTTCCCTGAAGTCAAAGAATACATTCTAAGGATCAGTGGAGGTTAAGAGTAGGGAAATTTATTGGGAAAAGGAATGATGAGTAGTTCCTGAGAGACAGGATGGGTCCCACTTGGGTTGCCAAAAAGCTCATCTTGCAAAGGAAGTTTTATAGAGCAAAATCACGAGGTGGGTACAATGTGGGTCAAAATAATGATTTACCAATAAGATTGTGAGTTGTAATATTGATCTAATGGTAGCATGGGCACATGGATGACATCATTAACCTTGGTTGATAATATGTAGTCTTGGTGCTATCTTTAGTTTTAGTAGTTTTAGTCTTAGTATTAGGTGAGAGAGGATGGCCCACTCCTAATGGGATAATGGGAACTTTTAAAAGGGTGACACTAATAATCCCAAGCCCCTGTTCATCCCTTAGAGAACTGTGTGAAATTGACCATTGTGATTTTAAACTTATGCACCTGCAGCCACAGTCCTGATGAATTTTCTTCTCCCCTGACAGGGTCCAGTCTTGTCCAACTACCTACTATATGTCTACCTAGTTTAGTTGTTTGTAACAGTATCTTTTTTTTTTTTGACACAGGGTCCTGCTCTGCAGTGCAGGCTGAACTTGAGCTTACTTTGTAGCCTCAGTTGGCCTTGAATTTGCAGCAATCCTCTTGCCTTAGCCTCCGGAGTGCTGGGATCACCAGTGTGCACCACCAAGCCCAGCTCTTATTTATTTGGGAGAGGGTGTACTGGGGATCAAACTCAGGATCTCACACTTGCCAGGCAGGTGCTTATGCCACTGAGCTAAATCCCTGGCCCCTTATTTATTTTTTAAAATACTATTCTTAGGGGCCAGGGATTTAGCTCAGCAGTTCAAGCACTTGCTTGGTAAGTGCGAAGTCATGAGTTTGATCCCTGGTACCTAATTAAGTAAATAAAAATAATTGCTTTACATTACTGCCATTTGTGTTTGTTTTGGCCAATTCTTTGCTCGGGACAGAAAGAAACCACCTCTGGGAGACTCCAGCACCCCAAAACCCAGTGATGCAGCTATAACAATTATTATTTTCTTTATGTGAGGAGTCATTTTTTTCCTGCTCCTTTCA